AATCTGGCTTCAGAATGCTATTTCTTAACCATTATATACAAAACTAGAGGCCCAGTGCACAGATCTGTGCACTGGTGAGGTCCCTTGGCCTGGCCTGCAGGAATTGGACCAAAACCAGCTCTCCAACATCCCCCGCCTGTCCCCCCTCCCCACACACATCATCCCGTCGGATTTTCTGTGTCTCTAGAGTCTCTCGCATTCACTTGTTCGTTGTCCGTCTCCCACTTCCAAACCGTGAGCTCCGCGGGGCCGAAACCTGCTGGCGGTGGGGCGGGCGTGCTCAGCGGCAAACCCGCGTGTGCGGAGCACATGACCGGACCTCGCTGAGCTCTCGGCGTCGGTGTCAGACCCACCGGAGGTGGTCCCTCACTCGTGGCTGAACAAATGACTGAATGAACGGCGTCCTTTGTGCCTACATTTCCTCCTGAGGTTGTGGCGAAGATTAAATAGGAAAATGCATAGAAGGTTCAGTGACTGCACCACAGAGGTTCATGAAGTCCCACAAATACAGATGCAGATCAGCTCGTAATGCCAGGCCCCTGACACAGTCTCTACTCATTCCCTACCTCCCCTTAGACACCACCCAATAGGGTTGTGCAGCTCCTCTGGGATGCTCCGGCCGATGGCAGGCTCACTCTCCACAGTTTCCAGCAGAGTATCGAGGTCCGAGAGGCAGTGTTTCTGTGTCCACCCCTCGCAGACCCTTCTCTGGATGCCCGAGAAGCCCTCTACAGCAGGAGGGATTGAGAGGGGTTGAGACGGTAGCCAAGCTCGAACCCAGGACTTTAGGCTCACCCCGGTGTTGGAGAGAAGAGAAGGCAGGACCTGGGAGTGGGGGAAGGAGGATGCAGAGGGGCTGGAGGTGTGCTTCCCTGGGAGGGGCCTGCTCACTGGGTTGTGGGCAGGCTCACCAAGCTCAGCCTGGGGCAGGTAGCCTGAGCAGAGGCCTCCTGCCTCCCTCAGCCTCCCCTCAGGCCTCAGTCTCCCTTCAGGGGGGGAGGAGGGGAGGGGTAGACCTTTGTCCTTATAGATTGGCAGGATCCACCCTTTCCACCAGGAACCCCATTTCTGGCCTGGCTCCCTGACCTCCTGCTGTGAGCCTGGACTGTTAGGAGGGGCAATTTACCCAAGTCCAAATTCCCCAACACACTCCATCTCCCCACCGGTCTACTCTCTCTGATCGGGAACAGTGACTAGGGCCTTGGGGTCCTCGCGGTTAAGGAGGGGGTATGCCACAGCTTGCTGTGGGAGTGGGGCCTAGAGGCCAGGAAGACCTAGGTACCAGCCCTAGCTCTGCCCTCCAGGTGCTGTGACCCAGAGGCTGACCTCTCTGTCCCTCCGCCCTTCAGGGCTGGTGTGAAGGCTTCCTGTCACGTCCAGATTTCATGGGGATATAACCCCTGTGGGTTCTCGGGGCAGAACAGGGAGGATCCAGTATGCCCTTCCTATCTTTCCCTCTCTCCACCTCCGATGCCACCCCCAGGGCACTCCCAGATTCCTGGGGCCAACTCCCTGTCCATCAGTCCCTTCCCATGGCCACCCACGCTGAGAGTGAGTGCAGATGGCCGTGCTGGCCCGCAGCCTTCTCAGAGGCTGGGCTGCCTTGCACAAACCTGGGTTCATTCACGTCCTGGCTCTGCCCAGTAGGGTTCGAAGACGTGGGCAAGTCACTTACCTACCCGAGTCTCCTCCAGGGGCTGCTTCTACTGGCCTCCAGTGGTGGGGGGCTGAGCGCTCAGTGCTCTGTGCCCACATCCCAGCCCTAGACTTCCTGCCCGACTCCCCCTGGGACTGGAGTGTGCAGCCATGGCTGCTCCCCATCCTTCCAGCCCCACCCTTCCTGGGGTCCCAGCTCCCCTCTACCAGAGTGCTCCATCAGCTCAGGCTGCTTTCAGTGCCTCCTTGAAGCAGAGGCCCTGGGGGGGCAGAAGGCGGGTGTCCCGTGGGCCGTGACCGCTCCCTTAATCGAAGGTAGAGGCCGGAAAGACGGCCTTCCTTCCACTATTACCGCTTGCCGAGAAACCCTATTATCATTCCCAAGGCTGGGAGAAAGTGTCCGAGGAGGAAGGAGCCCTTTAATGCGGGCAGCCCTGGCCTCAGGAGACATGGGTGGGAGGAGAGGCTCAGGCCCAGGAAAAAGTGTCTGTGTTTGAAGGAGCTACTGCCCAGTGCTTCCACGAGGTGCACCTGTCCGAGGCCTAGGCCCACCGCCCAGACCCCTAAGCTCAGGCCCTGGCTCCAGGCCCTGCCCCAGAGTGGATGCATGCCCTTTCCTCCTTTCTCCCTGATGCCCCACAGCCCGCTAGCCATCCTTTAGATGCCCAGCTTCCCGTAGCCAGGGGTCATAGGTTACCCATTTGTTTATTTAATTCTGGACCAGGTGACGGAGGCACAGAGAGACTAGGTCCTGTGGGAGCAGAGGCCAGTGTCCACCCTGCATGCCCGGCTGTGCCCCCGAGACGTGGCCGCTGGTCTCTGAGGGGCACCGCTCTGCGGCTTTGCTGAGAGATGAGGATGACAAGTCCCGACCCCCTTTCTTTTTCTCCTCAGGGGCAAGGACTGGAGGGATCACAAGCTGACCTCAGGACACAGGGCTGGAAACCTCCTCCAGAGCTGTGTGACCTTGGGCAAGTCCCTTCCCCTCTCTGGGCCTCCAGTGGAGAAAAATCACACCTCACAGGGCCTTGGCCTGAGACAAGGAGATCCCTGAGGTTAGGGTTGGTGTCCCACGTGGTTGGGATTCGAGGAGAGCGGGTTCCAGGCAGGACTCCCCTTCGCGGGCTGAGAGCCTGGGGCAAAGAGGCCTGCAGGGCACGCTGCTCCTGGACTGACCCCTCCTCCCCCAGAACCAGCTTCGTCTTTTCTGGGTTTCTAGGTGACTTGGCTGGCCCCTCTGGATGAGTTCTACTTTAAACTTGCTGCTGCCACTGCCTCTGTATTGGGGGGGCTCCCACAGGGGCCCCCAGGCAGGAGCCCCCCCAGCCAAGCCCTGCGGGAGGGGCTGCAGCCCCATCCATCCAGCGCCCATGCG